AGCTGCAAGGCCAGGGCGGCGTTGGAGCGCTGGTGGGTGCCCGCCAGCCCCAGCTCCAGCACCCGTTGGCCCCCCTCGAAGGCGTCCAGCTCCGGGCAGAGGTAGAGGGGACACTGCAGGGAGAGGAAGCTGAGCCCCCAGCCATGGGGTACCCCCCCATCTACCCCACCACCACCCAACTCACCTCCCGCTCCTGGGCTCGGTCCCTCCGCCCCCCCAGCGGCCGCTCTGGCTGCGCCACGGTGAACGCTGGTACGCCAGGCTGCGAAGGACGGGGGTGCTCAGGGCCATGGGAGAGAACACCCCAAAACCGCAACAGGGGAAAGGACTGGGTCTCCCTACCTTAAAAATGCCCCCCTTCTGCCAAGCGATCTTCTCCATGGTGTCCCCCAAGATGCTAGTGTGGTCGATGCCCAGGGAGGAGACCCCGCACACCACTGGTGCCCTGGGGGCGCAGCACGGCAGTGTCCCCGCTGTCCCCACCACTGTGGGGACACCAGCCCCTCGCAGTCCCGGGACACAGGTTCAGCCCCGCCAGCTCCTACCTGATGATGTTAGTGCAATCATAGGCACCGCCAATGCCAACCTCCACCACCGCCAGGTCCACCTGGGGACACAGGGACACCAGAGCCATCAGAGGCCCACCAGCAGCATATGTCACCATGGATTTGAGGATGTGGGTGAGGCTGGGCCTCTGCCACCACCCCTCCATACCCAAGCCTGAACATGTGCCCCACTCATGGGGCAACCATCCCCTGGTTACAGCCATGACAGCCTGACCAATGCAAGGTCTGCCCCAAGTGGGGGTTGGACCCCATGTCCCCTCTCTCCAAGGTCCCCACCAACCCAATGTCCCCATCACAAGCTGGAGGCCACCACCACCTACCTTCTCCTGCAGGAAGACGTGAAAGGCCATGATGGTGAGGAAGCGGAAGTATGCCGGCATGCTGGCACATGCTGGGTCCTGCGGCACAGAGCAGGCGTTAAGGGGATGGCATGTGGCACCCCAACTGGTGCTGGGGCACGTGGCCCTGGGAGGTGGTCCCCAAGGGAGGGAGCACCCCCCACAAGCCCCACTGTCCCCACCTTGGTCTCCTCCAGGCGGTTGTAGACGAGCCAGAAGTACTTGCTGAAGAGCTCCTTGCTGATGGGCTGCCCGTTGATACGGATCCGCTCACGCACCTGCACCAGGTGAGGGGAGCTGGGGGGGCAGAGCGGGAGGGGGGGAAAAGGTCAGGTACAGTGTCACTGGCCCCCCCAGACCCTCCGGATCCCCCCTGCCCACCTGTAAAAGCCCGTCTTCAGTCCGTAGCTGCGGAGGATGCACTCGGTGAAGGCGCATGCTGAGCCCTGGGGAGACAGCAGCGTTAAACCCCCCTGCGCCGGGGGCAGGGGCGAATGGAGCCAGAGACGCTGGCAGCCCCCTCCCGTCCCCCCAAGCCCCCACAGCACTGCCTGGCCGCCTCACCTTGCCCTTCGTCCCTGTGACGTGGATGATGTTCAGTCGATCCAGGTCCTCGACCTGCCAGAGGTCAACCACCCCATGAGACCCCCGCGGCAGCCAGTGCTGAGCGCGGTGGCACTGCTGCTGGGATGGGGGTGGGGTGGGGATGAGGATCCCCCCTCACCTTCAGCCCACTCCTCTCCAAAAAGCCCTGCATGGCTTCCAGCTGGGCCTGGGGGTCGCCGCGCTCCCGCTTCACCTGCTCCAGGTAGCTGGCGTTGGTCTGCAGGGTGTTAAGGGTCCGGATGGCATCCTGGAGAGACCCCCGGGGGGTGGTCAGGATGGCGCTCGTCACTGCGGCCTCAGGGCTGCACCCACCACCACGGCCCCTGGGGCCAGCCTGCCTCGTGCCCACCCACACCCCAACCCACCCCATGGGGATCGGTTCCCTCAGCGCTGCCCGTGGCCGCCCACGCCGGCAGC